GGTAAACTTAAACATCAAAGTTTCGACCTTTTTCTGTCTCAAAAGTTTGTGATGCAAAAGAATGACGAACAAAGTAGCAGTTGCTGCTGCATTTCTCTCTCGCACTAACGAACTGGGTTATAATCTTCAACAATCATGTAGTCATATTCTCTCTTTTTGCGAATCCACTGCATTGCGCTCTGGTTTACACATCCATTCTCCTGTAATCAAGCTAGACCTCCTCGAGAATCTCGACTTATGCAACAATCTTTTGAGTCTTTACTCGAAAACCGATGGTATATGGAATGCACGTAAACTGTTCGACGAAATGCCGCGCAAAACTGTTTTTGCGTGGACTGTTATGATCACTGCCTACACCAAGAGCCAAGAGCTTGGGTCTGCGGTTTCTTTGTTCGAGGAAATGATTGCTTCGGGAACACGTCCGAACGAATTCACATTTTCCTCGGTGATAAGATCTTGTGTTGGTTTAAGAGACCTCAATTACGGAGCTCGAGTTCACGGTTCTGTTATAAAGACTGGGTTCGAGGGGAACTCAGTTATAGGAAGCAGCTTGACTGATTTGTACTCAAAGTGCGGGCAGATTAAGGAAGCTCGTGAACTGTTTAGTTCTCTTCAGAACGCTGATACCATCTCGTGGACGATGATGATATCTTCTTTAGTTGAAGCTCGTAAATGGAGAGAGGCGTTGCAGTTTTTCTCTGAGATGATTGAAGCTGGTGTTCCTCCTAATGAGTTCACCTTCGTTAAGCTTTTGGGTGCCTCTTCCTTTCTCGGTTTGGAGTTTGGTAAAATGATTCATAGCAACATAATAGTTCGAGGGATTCCGCTGAATGTGGTATTGAAGACATCTCTCGTTGATTTCTACTCGAGGTTCTCTGAAATGGGAGATGCTGTTAGGGTATTGAATTCGTGTGGAGAACCCGATGTGTTTCTTTGGACGTCTGCGGTATCAGGGTTTGCAAGAAATTTGAGAGCCGAGGAAGCTGTTGCTACGTTTCTTGATATGCAAGGTTTGGGTTTGCAACCAAATAACTTCACCTACTCTGCAATCTTGAGCTTGTGTTCCTCTGTCCGATCGTTGGATTTAGGCAAGCAGATTCATTCACAGACAATTAAGGCTGGTTTGGAGGACAGCACTGATGTCGGAAATGCACTTGTAGATATGTATATGAAGTGCTCAGCATCAGAGGTAGAAGCTTCACGAGTCTTCAGAGCAATGATCTGGCCAAATGTCGTCTCTTGGACAACGTTAATTATCGGTCTTGTTGATCACGGGTTTGAGCGAGATTGTTTTGGACTGTTGATGGAAATGGTAACACAAGGAGTAGAACCAAACGTTGTTACTCTATGTGGTGTTCTCCGAGCCTGCAGCAAATTGAAATATATAAGGCAGATATCAGAGATACATGGATATTTACTCAGAAGACACATAGATGGTGACATAATAGTAGCGAATTCACTCGTCGATGCATATGCCAGCTCGAGTAAGGTGGATTATGCCTGGAACATGACTAGGTCGATGGACAGGAGGGATGATATCACGTACACGAGCTTGGTAACGAGGTTTAATGAGTTGGGCAAGCATGACATGGCAATAAGTGTCATCAGTCATATGTGTGTAGATGGAATCAGACTGGATCAGTTCAGCTTACCTGGGTTTATCTCAGGTTCAGCTAACTTGGGAGCTCTTGAAACTGGGAAACATCTTCATTGTTACTCCGTGAAATCCGGGCTTTCTAGCGCAGATTCTGTTTTGAATGGTCTCGTTGATATGTACAGTAAATGTGGTAGCTTGGAAGATGCAAAAAAAGTTTTTGAAGAAATAGCTAGGCCTGATGTGGTTTCTTGGAACGGGTTAGTATCGGGTTTGGCATCAAACGGTTGTATTTCATCTGCGCTATCTGCATTTGAGGATATGAGGATGAAAGGAACCGAGCCCGATTCTGTAACTTTCCTGATACTGCTCTCTGCTTGTAGTAACGGAAGATTGACCGAGATGGGTCTTGAGTATTTCCGATCAATGAAGGAGATTCATAATATAGAGCCACAGATAGAACACTATGCTCATCTAGTTGGTATCTTAGGTCGTGCTGGACGACTAGAGGAAGCAACAGGAGTTGTAGAGACGATGCCATTGAAACCAAATGCTCTGATCTTCAAAACATTGTTGAGAGCTTGTAGATACCACAGGAATCTGTCTTTAGGAGAAGATATGGCTAACAAAGGCTTAGTACTTGCACCATTTGATCCAGCCTTCTACATACTTTTGGCAGACTTATACGATGAATCTGGAAAACCAGAGTTGGCCCAAAAGACTCGAAATTTGATGACCGAGAAGGGTTTGAGTAAGAAGCAAGGCCAGAGCTCCCTGGAGATTCAAGGAAAAGTTCACAGCTTTGTCAGTGAGGATGCTACTACAGTTGATAAAACGAATGGGATTTATGCAGAGATAGATTGGATAAAGAGTGAGATAGAAAGGTCAGGCTATACATACCGAAGTATTAAAAACGCAAGCTATCACAGCGCGAAACAAGCTGCTGTGTTTGGTCTTGTGTACACATCACCACAAACTCCGGTTCATGTTGTTAAGAACAAAATCATGTGTAAGGACTGCCATGATTTTGTGTCCCACATGACCCGGTTAGTTGACAAGAAGATAACTGTAAGAGATGGGAATCGGGTTCATATGTTTAACAATGGTGAATGCTCTTGCAAAGGGGATGAAACATCATTTGTATCATCATAGGTTATTTTGATAATAATGATGAAACATTTGTGAAAAGCGTACGACATTGTTATAGTTTTTAAAATTATTAAGCATTTTATTCAGAGGCTGACCTGTCTCTGAAACAACTCTAGCCAAAAAAAGCAAACAAAGTACAGAAAATGTAAAACTGGAAAGTTACTCCTTCAACTGCGGATCGGTGGAGGTAGCAGCTGGAATTTCTGTCTTGGCCTCTGAAAGTAGACCTTCAAGGGTTTTGTAGAACTCTTCAGGAAGAGGACCAGGTCGGTGCTGAGGAACATGCTTGGGAATTGGTGCATCATTCTCAATTACTTCACACTCGTAGTCATCTGGAACACCCCAAGCATCCCACTCTGCATATGCAAATAGAACAAATTACAATTCTGCGGGGAAGAAAGAGTTGCCAATGGGCAAACTCAGAACAAACGAACCAAAATTTTAGGCCGTTGAAAGTTTGCTCAGTAGCATATTACATATAATAGGAGGCTCAAACAATAGCTACTTCTACAAAAGACGATTGCATTTCATAAGAAGAAGAAATAAAATCTCTGAAACCTCACTCAAAGGATCATGAAATTCTAAGATAGTTTTAACAAGCATTAACACTTATTATGTAAACTGCAAAGAAAGTACACTAAATTTAGAACATGACCACACTTATGTGACATTGAAGATGTAGGCTTTTCTTTCGTCGCATTACTCACATAAGCAGAAACCATTTCAATCTCAAGTGAACTAAACTTTCACCCATACGCCTAAGTTAACAAATAATTCTTGTGCATTCCCTTACTTACATTTCCAGTTTAGATTACAATTTCAATGAACTGAAACTGACAAAAAAACTCACTAACTCATAGTTAATTTCCACAAACTTGATAGCCTATAAAGATGTAACCTTTGCAATGGTCTGTGTCCAGTTTTTGCTACCTAAAGATTCACAAAGCCTCAAGATTCAGCTTCTCATTTAAAATTGGAAAAAAAACAATCAATAGTCCAATTGTTCACAATGTGTTCCCTAACCAGAAATGCAAAATTTCATTCTAATCCCAAATCTCATTCCACATCAACAACGAATGAATCGTGAAAACGGGAAGATGTAGGAAAGGGAAGAGCATATAAACGGACCGATCATTTTTCCAATGAGAGTGAGCTCATCTTGTGCCTCTTCGATGAGCTCTTCGACTTGACCGCAACCAAGCCGTTTCTCAATCGCCTCCCAGTCTTCTTCTTCCTTGCACACATTGAGACGGTGGCGAGTGAAAGATTCCACAGCTTTCCGGTATCCTTCATCCTCCGGTACGGCTTGGATCTCCTTTAGGGTTTTGCTGTAGAGATCGATCAGCACCGCCCTCGCGTTTGGGACCACGTCAAGCCCAACGATCCCTGTCGTCTCCTTCACTTTAGCCAATAACGGCCGTCCGATTGCCCGTAGGAACATCTTAACCGCTGGATCGAAACTCCGGCGAAATCTCAGATATGATTTGTTGTTGTTGATAGTGTCAACTCCCACTTTTTCAGATGGAGGATAAGCAAACGCAAGCCAGAGGTGAAAATATGGGCCAAAAATTGAGTAGAATTGGCCCATTTACTGGATTAATGGGCCGAATATGAGCATTGGTTTTAAGGATTTTTTTCCAACTATAGACTGATTAAAATAGTTTATAAATCCAAACAGAAAATATACAAAGGTTACATAAAAATGTTTTACTAGTAAAGTCTAATATTTGGTTTTTTTCTTTTCTAATAACAATTAGATTAATTATTATTAAATTTTAGACTATAAAAAGAAAACTAAATCAATCATATAAAAGCATGTGTCAAATGGCTATCGAAAAAAATAATTGAGAGTTTCTTGGTTGAGAACCGTCTTTTGCTATCTTTATTGGTTTGACATTATTTTCTATTTTTTTAATTCTTAAAAAACTCAATGAAAATCTTTCGATGGAGTTGTTCTTAGGCCCTCAAATACATATTTAGCTTTCATTAGGGTTTAAGACTACACATCTTATTCGTATATTTATATATTTTTTGTCGGGTTTAGTTTAAATTATTTCAGGTGTAGATTGGTTCCGAAAATTTACTTAAACCCATATGTATCCTGGTTTTTTCGGATTAGGATATTTCTAAACACAATTATCTAAAATACTCATAATTATTCAAAATATCCAAAAATAACCAAATAAAACTATAGTAATATAATAATATATCCAAACTAGTTATTTTTATCAAATCATTACCCACGAATTCTCAAACTAACCGGAACAGAAGAAAAAAACTATAAAATTTAGTGGAACTACATTAACATATATATCCAACATAGAATGTAGATTAATTTATTTTAGAATACTTCGAAAATTTTTTTAGTTCCGTTTTGGTTTGGATTTTTTTTTTATACTATATGTTGAATTTTCATTAGGATATTTTAAGAAACTGGTTCGGATTCGATTCATGTAATTTTGAATTGGTTTTGGCTTGGTTTTTGAATTCTGAAATTTTTTATCCAACTCTAATTTTAGATGTACAATGCTTTCTATTCATCATGAGTTGGGACCATGATGAATAAGATGTCTTTCATTAAAAAAACCTTTTAATGTACCAAAAGATATAAATAGATTGAGAAAAATAAAAGACATTCTTTTCAAAAAATATCCAACGTAATATGACAAACTCTTCGTTGGATATTTTTTGAAAATGATGTCTTTTATTTTCCTCAATATGTTTATATCTTTTGCTACATTAAAAGGCTTTATTTAATGAATAACGAAAAAAACAATATATTTAAAAAGTTGGTAAAAAAGAGTATGTGGCACAATCTTGGCCATTGGATTTAGGTTTTTTGTTTAGTTTGTAAATTATTTTGTTGTATTAATGGCCAATTATCCCTACATTAAATGCTTGTTCACTAAAGTAATAAGAAAACACTTTTAAGAAAAAACTAAGGGAAAATTACATCTATAGGCACTTTCCCAAACAAAACTTACAAACAAAGGTACTTTGCAAAGAATGGTGATTTTTGCACAAGATTCGAGAATTTTTGGATAAATATACCCTTGTGGGAAGCAGTAAATATGTTTTGCTTCTTAGTTGGGTATTGTTTAATCTCAGCCTTCGATTTTTATTAAAATTTGACGGTTCAGATAGAAAATGTCTATTGTTAGTAGATGTTTATGTTACGATCTCAACCGTCCGAATTCATTAAAGTTTAACGGCTCATATTAATAGTTACATAAAAACAGATTGTGTAGGTGTCATTAAAAGACTTGTTGTGTTTTGTAGTTGGTTTTGATATAATCTTAGCCATCGATTTTCCTTAAAAACAGATGGGTGAGATTGAGTTGTTCTGTTTTTCCTCGAATATATCGCTCTCCTCTTTTTATCGTGAAGAACAAACCGCCATCAATATCGATCGTGACAATCATGTGTAAAAATCACCTGTAGTTGGTCTCTAAAATCTTTGTATCCCTACGATCTCTCCTTGCGCTTTCTCGTTCTCGATTTCAAGTTGGTTAAAGCTCTAAAAAAGTGTTGTGCGATCTCCAATTTTGAAACCGTTTAAGGTTTCTCCGGTGACTCTCTACGATGCTCGGACCACCACCTGCTCCAAAATTTCTAAGTTCTTCTGAAATCTCTGCTGGCGTGTAAGGTTTCTCCGGCGTGTAAGGTGGTTTTCTTTACATGAAATCAGATCGATTACGCAAGGAGCATAAAATCCTCTTGTTTTGATTTTGTCAAGTCGATGAGACAGAACGGCTTCAAACTCAAGACATTTTAGATCAAAACCGACTTCTGATCAATGAGATCAATCGCAACCATCGTGATCACGAATTACTTATCCATAAAACTATGAACATTCATATTTNTNCATATGGATAACGTGATGATATCCACTAAACTCTAACCAATTTTATAGTGGTCATATGGACAATGTACTTTGTAAATTCTTCTGGAAATGTCTTGAATTTGAATAAACTCAAGCAACAACTGAAACGATCGCCTATTGAATCAACACAAAATTGCAATTGGGAATCATGATTTGGTGTACCAATTCAATGAATCATGTAAGTGATAATTGGCAAAAGGATTTCTAATTTGAAAATTGAATTTCTATTCATGTTAGTGAGAATTGCGTTTCTAATTAGTACATTTTAATCTAAAACATATTTTAAATATTTATCGTATTTTCTATCGCAATTTGATCATACCATATTTTTTTATTCCTCATCGTGGATATGTCTATGTGGATATCAAAGCTTTTCTCTGGTTTTCAACATTTGTAACGATTGCGTCCACGAGATCGTGTCCATGTGATTGTTTCCACTATCCACACTGGAATTATTGTATTCTCCGTTCTCTTGACCATGTTCCATGTGGTGATTGTTTCTTCAATTACCTGTTAAGGGACATTTGCAATACATCTTATTGCAATATGTCTTAGGTGTGGTCTTCAAAAGTCTTGGAAAATGGTTATGTGTGGGCATGATAATAGGATAGATTTTATGTTCCACACATTCTTCTTCCTATGGACACACTGACCACAACGTCATGACCAAATGGATAGAGGTTATCCCCAAGCACTGACCACACCGTCATGACCAAACGGATACATGCTATCTCCAAACACTGGCCACACTGTCATGTCCACCAAACACTGTTCATAGGTCGTATGGAAATATTACATTATAGTTTCCCTTATCACTTCTCTCTTTTTCTTCTCATCAAATGAAACCATTCTGATCAAGAAGCTTATAATCATGAAAACTAGCATGAGCAACTATTTGTGGANATAGTGTAATGGATACAAAGATTAACATTGGTTTAACAAAGCTAAATTGATAGCAAAACTTCAAGACAAAGTGACTAATTATTATTGCCTCGGGTGTTGACGAAGAAATCGTGAAGACAAGATCAAACCATGTAGAATGCACATACCTCTGTACCGTCTCACATAACGTATGAGGCTTCTTCTCGTAAGAATGACTTAAAAAATGCAGTAACCAAATACTGATTACATCACCAACCAAACCAAAGTTCTCTAAAACATTGACACCAATCATGGATAATAGTCGAGAAGAATATGAATTAGGGAGGAAATTGATGCACAGAAACTTTGATGCGTGGAGGGTTTATATGCATATGCAAGTTTTAAATTTATAACCCTATGAA